GACGTCTATAGACGTCTTTTATGTTTTTCAATGCGAGTGGCTTGGGGGACGATCTGCTAAAGTTTTTCCGTAAATATCGGCTTCTAGACAGAGTATGTAGTAACAAATTTACCCTCTAGGTAGCTGTGCCACTTTTGATGGGAGATTAGCATAGATTGTAAGCAAATAAAAACAAACGCAATGGTTCGCTATGAGAGAAATGGCGCCGGTGAGACGCACGTCGAAGAAGAACGGAATGAGGTAGAAACACATTTTTTTTCCTGATCAAAGAAGAGAGTCTACTCTTTCTATTGGTGTGTTTGGTGTTTACATAGTCATAGCACAAACTATTCTGTGGCTCTTGAAAAATCAGTCAAAATGCTCAAAAAACTGGCAGTATGGGACTCTCTGTTCTGAAAATGGCTGCCAGTCAATGAGTTAACAGTTACCTATAAACTTAAATTAAGACTTCTCCTATTTATATGGAATGTTTTCTTCAAACAACAGCCCTCATTTTTTGTTGAACATTTATTCCTTGTTGAACAAAGTCATAATTACTTAACAAGGCGGGCACGAGGTGGAGACTTTAAAGTCCCTCGACCCAGAACAAACTCTCTAACATCCACAGTGCATTATAGATTATTATTATGTCACTGGAACCAACTGCCAATAACCACACCAAGAGTTCAGAACAAAACAAGCTTAAAAAAGATACTGTCTTCAGAACTACTGCAGATGATATGATGAACTGACCTGTGTGTATGTTATATAGTTCTACTCTTGTTTATGTTTTTATTATTTCCTACTGTGATTTTTATTTTTTATGATTTGTTCATAATGTAATATCATTTCTTGTGAGGACCCCAGGAAGACTAGTGGCCATTTATTTGGTAGCTAATGGGGATCCTAACAAAACTAAACTAAACTAAACTAAACTCCAGGGTACTTTGTGTTTCTACAGGAATTCGGCCAGACCTTTCCTGCTGTTCTTCTCCTTCCTCCAAGTCCACACGGCCATGTTTGCTTCTGCGGCGTTCAGAGGAACGAGCCGCCACGGCATCTATGGAGACGGCGTCCACGAAGTGGACTGGAGCGTAGGTGGGCCGCTAATCTGTTATGGGAGGCACAGTTATAGAAACAAACGTAAAGTGGAATGGGATTGTGCTGTGAGATTAACTCATTGGCTGCCAAAGACATCTATAGATGTCAATTCAAATACAACCGTTGACTGCCAAAGACATCTATAGACGTCTTTTATGTTTTTCAGCGAGAGTGGCTGGGGGACGATCTGCTAAAGCTTGTCCGTAAATATGGACTTCTAGACAGATTATGTAGTAACAAATTGACCCTCTAGGGGGCAGTGCCACTTTTGATGGGAGATGAGCATAGACTGTAGGCAAATAAGAAAAAGGGAACGGTTCTATGAGAGAACATGTCGCCGGTGAGACGCAAGTCCAGGAAGAACGGAATAAGGTAGAAACACATTTTTTTTCCCTGATGAAAGAAGAGAGTCTACTCTTTCTTTTGGTGTGTTCGGTGTTTACATAGTCATAGCACAAACTATTCTGTGGCTCTAGAAAAATCAGTCAAAATGCTCAAAAAACTCTGGCAGTATGGGACTCTGTTCTGAAAATGGCTGCCAGTCAATGAGTTAAGCAAGCAAGAGGCCATTCAATCCATATGCTGATTGGCGTCAGGGTTCTTCCCTGTGGAATCAGAAACCAAAGGAAGACCATCTGGAGGAAGCGTATCACCACACATCTCCTCCCTGAGGAGCTCCGATCCAAAAACAAGCCTGGAGTTTAATAACTGATGGCTTTCCGCTGGTTTATTAGATAGGTATAACTTAGTATCATCTGCATAATGCTACCCAATGAGAGCAGATAACAGAACCCAGAGAGAGGAAGATTCCCCATTTACATCCACAAACTGGAATCCATCAGATAAATATGACATGATTAAGGCCAATGCAGTCGTTAGAGTTGCTACAATAGATCTATTTTCTGTATGAAATAAAGAAATACTCTCACCAGAACTCAACTGGGATGAGCTGGAAAGTAACAAACTAAAGCAGTTAGTTTGTTACTTTCTCTCTCTCTCTCACCACCAACTGGCCGAGGCAGATGGTTGTGCTCCAGGTTTCTGCCTGTTAAAAGGAAGTTTTTCCTTGCCTGTGTCGCCTAGTGCTGCTCATGGTGGGAATTGTTGGGTTTCTGTAATTAACTTCAGAGTAATTAACCCTGACCTGCTCTGTTTGGAAAGCACTGTTGTTGTGATGTGGTGCTATATACAGTGTGGGAAATAAGTATTTGACCCCTTGCTGATTTTGCAGGTTTGCCCACTTACAAAGAATGCAACGATCTATAACTTTAATCATATGTACATTCTAAGAGTGAAAGACAGAATCCCA